ATGCAGCGTGTTTGCTTCCTAATGGAAATGTCTTAGTGGTTGGCGGATTTGATGGCAGCCATGAGTTAAGTAGTACTGAGGTATATACTCCATAATTACCAATGGCAACAATAATAAAATCATAACTACGCTGCTGTAATGCTTTAGGACATTACTTGCAACCAGTTAAATACTGTTTTGCTGGCTCAAAATGTAATCTAAGTGCATTTTTAAAAAAGGCATTCAATACTTAAATATAAAATAAAATAATCCGCTTGAGTTTTGCAGTTAGCAGTGTTAGCTTCCTCCAGGATGCATATGGTAGATTTATTAACGAGAAAATACAAAATGAGCTGCCAGATAGCTGTTTGTAATCTATTCATGACATTGAAAAATGGACTTTATACGATTGTTACACTTTTTTGTTTTGGAGTCAACGCTTTGTTAATATACAACCAGTTCACAGGAATAGAAAATCATAGAAAGAAAAGGAAAAAAATAAAGAAGAAAAAAAGAGAAAAAAAACAACAACGGGCAGACTGGTCATAAAGTTGGCAGAAGAAAATAGAGACGCATGACTTTTGTCTTATGTCTCGTAGAGAGAGAAAATAGATATAGATGGAGAGAGTGCGGTGTTGGTTGTTTCGTTAATTGTTGTTTAGCTTCCATCGATTTAAACATATCTTATGAATATCTACTAAACGGAATATTTCATGAATTTAGATCTAAACACCAACGTGAGACAGCATCAAATTACGAATAGTATCGTCTTAAACTTGATTGTCAATATGGGTTTACCATTATCAATTTTGAACAATGTCTCTTTTAGAACGTTCATGAATGATATTGATCCACGTTATCGACCTGTCTGTAGACGTGATGTTACTCGATCTATTCTACCAGATTTAGAAAAACGATGTGTATTGAAATTAAAAGAAATATGCGCTAAAGCACCATACATTAGTTTAACTCTTGGTTGTTGGCCAGATCGTCGTAGGCGAACATATTTCGGTATCACTTTGCATACAATAGTCGATGATAAATAAAAATCATATCTTCTTTCATTCGAAACATTACATGGAAAGCACTCCGGAGAAAAGCTGGCGGCTGAATTTGATCGAATCATTCAAACTTATGATTTAAAAGATAAAATTGTAAGATTAGAGACAGATAATGCCCGCAATAATTTAACTGCTTTTGTTAGTATTATTTTACCTGGATTTGAAGATTATTTCGATGAATTAGAAAATGAAGAAACAGATGCTGAACAAGCCAATCGTGATGGAGGAACGGAGGAAGGAGATAATGAAGCTGTTCTCGATCAAAAAGAATCTTTACGTACATTAGAAATCAATGATTCAATATATGAAAGTATTTTGAACCTGTCAAGTGATGATGAATATTTGAGAATACCATGCTTCAGTCATTGTTTACAATTAGTAGTTAATGATGGAATCAAAGCTTTGAATGTTACTGCTACTGCTGCTTTGAAAAAAGTTGCTATTCTAGCCAAATTAGCACACACAAGTACAGTTTTTGCGAGGGATCCACGAAAAATTAGTTTTATCCCGGTTTATTTTATATTTAATCTATAAAATCCTTTAGGCCCTTTACTCCCTTTAGTCCCTTTAATCCAACGAACCCTCACCCTCACCCTCACACCCTCGACAGATATGCGTTTGTCCTTTACATCGATTCGGATCGCGATGTTTTCTTACGAATACTGTTTGTGAATCTTCACCATGTTGAAACAATGTAACATGTATCTCCGACGATGAGTATAACGAATCTCCTCGTACGTTTAAATGCCTGTGCGCAAAAGGTTTTAATGATGAGCGATGGACTGTACGCGATCTGAAATTGGTTATCTCATTTGATGACGTGATCACTTTACCTCAAGACATGCTGATGCATTTTATTGAAACTGTTGAGAATGATTTTCCAGCACGGACCAGCACTTATGCAATGATTTCACTGAAGAAAAGAGCACTCACGATCTCGTGGTCAAAAGAATTTGATATCGCATTCGTTGAACTTCCTATAAACAAATATTACTTCGCTTTCGTCGAAGAAACTCGGTCGACGACAGACACTTATCCCAAAACAAATCAATGAACTATTCAACGAAATATTACGACAATTATCGTACATAGAACAGATCAAATACTCTCATCTCCACTGGCAAGTTCCATCTTTAAATTTCACATGCTTTTATGACGATTTACATGTCTGTTTATGTTACGTATTGTTTTCAAGATCATCCAAATTGCCCAACTCGTACTATGTGTCAATGTAAGTCGTATTACTATGGAAGATTATGTCCATTTTGGACAAGTGGATTTGGTCTATCCTTAGACGCTAATTTTGGGTTATCACATTCAACCAAATACGCCTTTGAAACATCAATCAAGTATCGTCGAGTTTAGTTTAACCTTATCGATCATGTTCACGAGTAGATTATTTTCGATGATTACGTTCAAAAACAAAGGTATTCGAGAAGTTAGGTGTGGAGTTTATCGATTTCCTTCGTCGATAGCCACGTTATTCATAATGATCGTCTTTGTATTGAAATTTTCGATGTTAATTCTTTCCCAAATGAATGTTCTAACGAATAAGGTACTATTATTGATTGAATGTCATTCATTTGACTGTGTTTTGCGTGCTTTTATCAATACAGAACAATGGTCTAGTGCATGTGTCCCCATCGAACGACCTGTTACAGTGATGAAAGGTCCTGCTTTTAAAAAGATTCAAAGTCATCGAATCGCTAAACGCATGGCTGTAGTTATTTTAGTTATCAACATAGGCAGTGTGCTACATGACGCGATTGTGGTATGTTACAAAAATGTCGATTCACTGCAACTTGGTGATGTATATTTTTCATTTTTTCAGTCCGTTTATCGTCAATATAATTTCTACGATCATTCTAATCACACAAAAGCTTACCAACGCTTTCGCTTACTTTTAGCGAAGCAGATTAGCGAACATAAACACTTATCAACTGCTCCGGTGTTTTTAGCTATTCTTGGTGATACCTAGTCTGATTATATTGTTTGTGGCAAAATGTATGCAGTCAGCCCATGTCGTTCAATTTTTTATCGTAACGCCGCTATATCGCCAAAACGGCATATTGCGCCGCTATTGAGCACGATATTGGCGTTAATCATCGTGATATATGTAAACGATCCGTGCGTCGCANATCACGGTCAAGACTTGTTGACCAAAATGAATTGAGGGAAATAAGTTTGTCAATACTACTTTTAAGAGTTTCCAACTCGTGTTTAGAAATATTTTGACCTAGATAAACTTCTATTTGATCTTGCAATTGCAATTCACGTAGTTGATGATACATATCGAAAAAAAATGAACGCCACAGAACCATCATATGAATATCTTGTTGACGTAGTGCAGTATTCATTATATCATATACAAATGGTTGGGTAGTATACCAATCAAATATTTCATCAGGTGAATAAGTATCATAAAATGTACGAATAAACTTGAGCGTTTTGGTATTATTTTCGTACTTTTTTTCCAGATAAGATCTTAATTCATTTTCATCTCGTTTATTTGGCTTCATTTTTAGAAGACAATCGATGAGTGTTTGAAAAAAAACAAACTCACCTTTTACTTCTAGAGTGGAATTACCTGTGCTTATAGTAAACATATTGTTCAATGATGACCTTTGGTCTTGTTGATACATTCGAAAATTGAGACGAATTGTAGAAATAAAATACTTAAGTTTAGCGACAATTATTTTGACCTTAAATACAAAGAAAATTGCGTGTGAACATAGTATCTGCTTATTCTTCTACTTTGCTAAATTGTTCGAACGATTGTTCATTAGTTACACCGTAAACACAGATTAAAGAAACTTGCTGGAGTTTGTGAATCGTCGGTATTATTTCGTTACTTAAATGATTACTAATTAGAAGTACTAGTCGATTATTTGCTGATAAATTTTCAATATATTGTCGACATGATATCACATCTTGATACTTTGTGAATTTTATGAGAGTACTACGTAACATATATTCATCATTTTCATCTTTCCCTGAATCATCATCATCGAGCCAGATTAAATGAAATAAATCAAAACATTGAACATGATTGTTTGAATTAGATTTATCGTTCGGAAGGACATTTGTAGCCATATGTTATTAGATTATCTGGAATCTCATGAAATAATAGTTCTAAACTATTAAGAAATTCAAAAATTTTAAAAACAACATTACCACGAGATTCAACATTCTGTTATCATGAAAACTTATCTTTTTCATCGAAGAAAAAGAATTCTGTTTCACTAAACTCTTATTATCATAGAGACTGCAAAAGTATAAATATTGACGTATTGACTAAGAAAAATAGTTGTTGATATAAGTAGTACAACTTTTTCACGAGAAAAAAAACCAAGGACAAGATAAAGGTGAAAACGATAGACGATTGTCAAGTGGAGAGAAGCTATAAAAGGCGAGTTTGTTGGAAAAAACCAACGAGACATAAAACACCATTTTTTATTAGAAGTGGATTTTATGATTGCAAAGTATTTTTCATCGATCTTACCTGTGTGAGTTTGGATATTATTCTTTCCTAGTTAAAATTCATCCATTCTCTTATTATATCAAAACAGAATAGGAAATTCTTTTTAGATTAATAGAAAGGTTCAATGAACACCTTTACGAAAAATTTAAGGAAACTCGTTGACAGACGAGCTGGAGAACAGAATTCGTTTGTCGAAGCACAGCAGCTTATCGAAGGTGGAGCAGATATTACGGCAAACGCAAAAGATGGACCAATGATTCATGCTGTGATCAATGAAGAAAGACGACAGCGTCCAGTATTCCCTTGGAAAGCTGATAATTGTTTGCGTTTAATCGAAGTCTTACGGAAACAAGCTTCTCGTTTACTTGCTGCACAAGTTCTCTCATCGAATGGCAATAATATCAATGAAATACGTCGATTTATTGAATTACAAGCGAATACTTATCAATCAGAGACATTTGGAGTTCTCGGTTTATTAGGCGATCTTCTCAAGCAAGAACGAATACCAATTCAACTTGAAGTCATACAAATACTAATCGTAAATGATTCACGTACATATGCTGGTTTAACTGCTGAAAATGATGCGAAAGAAACATGTTTGACAATTGCAAGATCCAATAGAAAATGCAGCAAAGAAGTGATTGATTTTCTACAACTCGAGTTTAATAGGATTCTCAATAAAATTCCTTTTTCTCAATCACCAATTAATAACAACGAAGTGGCTAACTGGATTCGGCGAGGCGCAGATCCCGAGACGATAAATGAGAAAGGTAACACGGTGCTTTTAAATGCTGTGCTTACCAACAATTTAGAGTTGGTTCGTGTGTTAGTTTCTTGTGGTTGTAACATATCTCATAGAAATTGTGAGAAACTTGCAGCATTAGATATAGCAGAAAGAGCTACGCCAAGAAATCAATTACTCATTGCTGCTCTACAAGCACAAGGTATCAATATGGAATTACGAAAACTCATTGAAACGAAAAAATCACATCTTACTGTCACCGAAGTCAGCACATTGTTAAGCGATGGGGCTACTATCAATGTTTCAATTACTAATCATGGTTCCTTATTACATTTATTGATTGCTAATGAAGGTACACCAGAAATGTTAACTGCTTTTATAAATGAATTCGATGCTGATATTACGATGACAGACAGTAAAGGATATCGGGCTATTGAAACATGTATCCTTATCGAAGAAAAACCATTTGTATTACTGAGCACTTTTCTCAAATTACCAAAAATGGCGATGTCAATATTTTTTAATTCAAAATTGAATAGAACATTACTACAATTTGCAGTCGAACATAACCGTACAGGTGCAGTTGATTTGATCCAACAGATACTAAATGAACGTTTATGGAATTATGTAAATGAGAATGATATCAACACGATACCGAATGCAAATGTTATTAACGAGATAAAACAACTTATTAACTACGGTGCTCAAATCAATCATAAACATACCGATAAGAACTATCAAGAATGGACCGTTTTACATTTATCTTGTCAAAAAGCCAATAAAACTTTTGTTCAATTTCTCATTGAACAAATGAAGGCCAGCTATTCGATACCAAATGGAAATGGTAACTGTCCCATTGCTATAGCTGCTGAACATGGTAATTTGTCGATTCTTGAGTATCTATGGAAACTACCCGAATCAAAATTGAATGTATCAAACAAAGACAATGAGACGCCACTTCATTTAGCTACAAAGAATTGTCACTTATTAATCGTTCGTTTTCTGATTCTATGGGGTGCTGATCCACAAGCTCAAGATATGAAGAAGAGAACTGCACTCGATGTTGCAAAAATGAATATATCAGATAGTAAATTAGACAATTTGAATGCTAAGAAACTATTGAATTTTCTCGAACAACTTATTTGTCCATCGGTAGAAGGTTCAACAAGTAGATCAGAATCGATGTCAAAAAAACCGACCATTGATCAAGATACATGTGAATTAGTAAAGGCTATTCCTATTAACCAAATTCGAATTGGTGATACTGATCCCGAAAAAAGAGGTTCTAAAAGTTTAGGTATTCTTCTTGGTACACCAAACGATAATCTACATGATGCCGTTCGAACAGGCTTTGCGCCAGCCGCGAACCAAGCTATTGGTCAAGGTGCCGATATTTGTTATCGAAAAAACGGTCTTACGCCACATCAGGCTGCGTTACAAACAATTCAAGAATGTTACGCCAAATTACAATCACCAAATGTCGTACTCAGTGATCGTCAAAAACTTCAAGAAAAAATGCAATGGTGTCAACAGATTGCCAATACTATTTCGCAGATTGCTCTTACCAAAATGATTAATGCAATTGAACAATCTAATGTTGGTCATGTAGCGGCATATCATATGGCTGGAGCTTTACTTACCGGTGAATTACTTTATTGTACATGTTCATTGTCTGACAATGTCGAAATCGTTCATTATCTTTTTCAGCAAAGTAAAGAGATTTATCAATCAATTTATAAATATAGTCGACCGGAATCTCCGTATAGAACAGCGAAGAAAAACGGATTTTATCGTGTAGCAGCATATCTTAAATATGTACTTTCGATTGAATGTACAAAAGCAGTCAAAGAAAATAATCTATCCAATGTCAAACAACTTGTTCTTAGTGGAGCCAGTGTAGATACGATAGATTCAAATAATCTACAAGTCGCTTTACAACATGGAAATGTTGAATTAATTGAATTTCTTTGTGTTCAAGGTGCGAAAATGCCAAAGGAATGGTTAGAAAATCCAAATATTCTTCTGCCAGTTGACATTACTAAAAAAATGTCACTAGATGTCGCTACTTGTATAAATCGATGTTTGATCAGTCGTCGACTTCGCTTTGCCGCAGCCGATGGTAACTTAAATGATGTTATTCGATGTCAACGGTTAGGAGCAGATATAAATTCAATGAATTGTTATGGATCAACTGCTTTGCTATATACAATTCAATATGGAAATTATTTTCCTATTGTTCATGCATTAGTTTCATGTGGTGCTTCGATATTGCATTCTAATGAAAGTGAACCCATGTCATTGATTGATATTGCTAAAAATAAAAAGTTTGACACAATTGCGAACTATCTCACCATAGAATTAAATACACAATTTCTCGGATCAATTATAAATGATGATCGAAAAAGTGCTCAAAGATTCGAAGAACTCGGTGTGGATTTTAATTATAAAGATGAACAAAAACGAACAGCTTTGCATTATGCTGTACAATATCATGGTATCGATCTGGTTCGATGGTTATGTGATCGTAGAAGTTTACCGACATCAGCTGATATTAATGGCGATTATCCAATTATCTTAGCAACACAAAAAGGTATTTTATTTATTTTGAATTTTCAATAAGTAATTATATGAAAACTTTCTTTTTATATTAAGGTGATTATCCTGTTGTTGAGTTATTTGTTTTAAAATATCCTGCTACCAAAAAACAAACGAATCAAAATGGTCTTACAGCCTTACAAATAGCGAAAAAACTTAATTATAAACGAATTGTCGAACTTATTGAAACTGGTAAACCAGTATTCGCACCTGACGATGACAAACAATCACAAGGTCCAAAATATACACCTGAAAGACTTCAAGAAGCGGCTCAAAAAGGTCAAGTAGCTATCATTCAAGAATTTCGTGAAGAACGTTATGATTCAAGAGATGAAAAACGTCGACTATGTTATCAAATTCTACGAGTAGCTGAAAATTATAAACAATTTCAGATACGCGATATTCTCAAACCATATTATGATAATGATCTCAAAGCAGATATACCATCGGACATATCTGTCGGTGAAACAATCACATTAAATAAGCCAAATAAAGGAATTCTTCTAGGATTTCTCACAGGATTAGGTGGTGTTGTTACTGATTGTCCCATTTTACTTGATCCTACTGATCCAAATACTTATAAAAAACTATTTTCAGGTCTTGGATCCAAATTAACGAAACGATTGAAACAATTGAAAAACGTCAAAAATGAACAAGATGCCAAAGAAGTTTATCAACAAGATTCAGTTAATATGGATGAAAAATTAAATAAAATTAAAATTAAAATTCATGAATTAATAGAAGCAAGAAAAGAAACAACACTTCGTATACAAGAACGTGATGAACAACTTTCTAAACAAAAAGATTTATCTGCATTAGAACGAAAAACATTATTTGAAGAAAAAGAAGAATTTGAACAACAATTAATTGTTTATGAATGTTCAATTTCTTTATATCAACGTGAAGAAGAAGCAATTTCAAATCGACAAAAAAATCTTGAATTCATTCAAAACGATACGAATTTATATTTGTTCTATCGTACAATAGAAAATCGTCTAGAATCTTTATTTCACAGTGTTCTTGCTGCACAATCAGGTGAAATACAAACAAAAAATTCAACAACAACAACAGGATCTACAAAGACAATTCCATCATCGGCTCTTCTCGCATTTTGTAAATATAAATTTAGTTGAAAACGAAATAACTTTGTTTGGATATTTTAGGTGATGTTATCGTAAACGCCGTCAAAGAATCCTTCGCTGATATTTTATCAAAATTAAATGAAAAACAACAGAAACAAGAATGGTTTAATATGTCCACTATTGGAAGTATTGGAGAGATTAATCGAATCGCATCGGATACAGCTGGATTTTTAACATTGTATTACAAAGAACAAATACAATCTATTGATGCAAATTGTAAAATGAAAGGAATTAATCCTTATAATGATCAATTCAATTGGATAAGAGATGTTTTCACAAATATTCCTGATGAAACAACTGAAGAAATTCCTGTTATTATCGTTGCTGATTATGTAACAGCTTGGATTATTCATGTATTGAAAGTTAATAGAAAAGAAATTCAAGTTGACGAACCATTATCACAACAATTATGGTATTTAGTTGCTAAAAAGAATCTTGTTGAAGAACAAATGTCGAATAAACCATCTGATGTTGTCAGTGTCATAGCTGGACAACAAAAAATTGCTTTGAAAAAGAAAACGAAGAATGAAGAAAGTCCAATATATGTACAATTGAATTATCTTATTGGTTGTGTATCAATTGTCGGTCCCAATGGAGAAATTTATCAATATTCGATCTCGTTAGAACAATCAAACAGAGAAGATTTTGATGATTTAGACATTTTTGGTTATGTCTACGTTTCACCATTCACTTCCGATGAAAATATCTTTCAATCTATTGTCGGTGAAAGAAAAATGCAATTAGCGATAAGAAATGATCAAAATGATATTATTACAAAACTCGATGAAATGAAACAACTTGCCAAAATATTCCAATTTGAAAGAATTGAAAGAACAAATCAATCTTACATCACCAAAGATACAATGAAACAGATTGCACAAGTATTACACGAACAGAAGACATTTACCAATATGTCAGAAGTCAAAACTGAACTCGAGAAAACTCGAAAAATAATTGATATCACTGTTGATACTTTAAAAGAAAATATTGCAAAGAAAGTTGAATTTTATCAAACATCTATTGATGCTGCACATGAACAAATTCAACAAGAATCTACGCAAAATAGACAAACTATGAAAAAAGATAATGAAGAACGATATAATCAAGCGATAAACAAATTATCTCAAGAATTAAAAGAAATGAAAATAAATTTGGAAGAGACAATCAACCAACGTATGAATACGATTGAAAGTGAAATGCGAACGAGAACAGAAGAAATATTAAATATTTCAAAAGCAGGTAGAGATCGTTCCGATCAAGCACTTATTCAAGCAACACAAGCTGCTCAAGCAAGTGAAAAATCTGCCAAATCAAGTGAAGAAAATACGAAATATTCTCAACAATTGGTACAAACAACAGAACAACGTCGTCAAGAAATACAATTAACTGTTAATCAATGCGAACAAAAAGTCGAAACAACAATCAAAGAACTGAAAAATACGTTTGAACAAAATGTCATAGGAATTCGTACGCGATTTGAAAAAGATCTCGATCACACTAAACAAGTAAATAATGAATTAGCTGCAAAGGCTAAAGAATCATCAAGAGCTGCTCAAGATGCAATGTCAAGTGCTCGAGATTTGACAAAACTTACGAAAGAGGAACTTCAGATTCAAAAAGCGGAATCAAAGAAGATCATTTCAGATATGCACGAGACATGTCGACATAGTGAACGATCAGCAGATCATTCTAAAGAAGCTGAAAAACAAGCGAAACGAGCAGTTGAAGCAAACACAACAGAAATCAACAAATTAACTGAAATGTTTAGAAAAATGCAAGAAACAGTACAGAGATTAGAAAAGTTGGAGAAAAAACTCCAAGGTTAATAATGATAACTAAATGATTTATCGAACTTTTTTAGAAAAATGTTGATAAGCTTGAAAGTTTTCCATTATGTTCTTTTTCGAATAAATATGAGAGATAAAGTTTATTGATAATAAAATAGCATTTCAATGAGTCACAATATGAAAAGCAAAAAATGAAGCAATTTTTGATTTAAATGCAGAAAACTAAGCGAAATATAATTCTCATGAAAACCATATTCATAATTATTACTGTACTTGTTATCTTCCATGCATTACTCTTCGTTGTTGTTGTTGTTGTTGTTGTTGTTGTTGTATCAACAGCGGTTGTCGAAATCAATGTTGATTTTCTTTGATAATTAAAAATTTGAAATACATCAGCTACATCATATTTCTCTTGAACGATATTCTTTATTTGCGAGATAATACTATGACTGTTGCACAGATTATATTCGCAAATGAAGCCAATACTGACAGCGACATTTGCCAAATTCTCATCCAAATAAGTGTGAATCAAAACATTCACTGATACCGCGCTATTTCCATCATTTGTTTTTACACAACGTTGATCAGTCCATCTGCTCTGGTTATCGTAGAGTGGAAATGTCGCAGAACATTTCTGACCTGAACACTGTTTATTTTTGCCTTCATCAACAAAACACATTCCTACATTAAAAAAGTTTCTCATTCAATCAAATCCATTTTCTAAAATGACTTACGTGGAATTGTACCATTATTGATAATTAATTTTGTCAATTCGTTGAACCATTCGTGATAATGAACATCGAGAAGCAATTGAAGATATTTGTTCACAAATTCAATCTCACATTTCTCTTCATTACAAGCATGCTCAAGGAAATACCATGTTTCGACTTTTCCAATGCCTATTGTCAACACAGCATCTTCATTAGTTAATATTTTATCTTCAATAAATTCAGTAAAAAGAATTTTGATTTGTTTGTCCAGATTAGCAATAATAATTACAATGTGACATAAATCATCATTAAATTCATCAATTTGTAATTGAGTCAATTCTTTTAAAAAATTTGTAATATTGAACTTTTTGAATGATATTTGGAGAGGTTGGTCATCGCCAGTTGTAACACATTTACGACTAAAGATAGTTGGGATAGAGACAAACAAAATCAATAATATTAAAAGTTTCATCATTCAAAATAAGAAAAAAATAAAATGACTTGACGTTAATTTCCATCAGATTTAAACATATTTTTTTAAATAAAAATATTTACCTGTAGTGAGAATAAACTTCCAACAATAACGTAGTGGTGTTTTTAATCATTCGATAGTTATGAGCAAATATATCAACACTAACGGTTTAACGGGAACTTTCGAAAGAACATCTGTATGGAAAAAAAACTATTTTTGACGCAGACAATTAGTGATTAACTTTTGTCTATAGAATTATTAAAAAACAGAACATATTGTCAAATGATAACGAAGGGGAAAAGCCGTGAAATTTTGAATTTTCTCTTCAAATATTAGAATGATATTTTTGCTGCGTCATTTCTTTGTATCTACTGTTGTTATGACGTCTTTAAATGTATATGGATTTTGTTTCTATATTTTCTTATTTCATCGTTGGACATACGAGTTGATACTTTGTTTTCAATTTACATTCGAAAAGAAATTCTATGTTGAGGATAAAAAGATTGTAAAAGACAAAAATAAAATAAAATAAATGGAAAGAGAAATGATGTATATCACATTTAATTTGTATTGTAAATATGAGAATAATGTTAGAAGTGCAAATACTTGTTACTTTAGAGAACATATTTCGTGATTATAACTGAAATGAAATCAATATAAATTCGATGGTGAATATTCTTTTTTGTAATCGTTATCGTCGCATTATTGATAAAGAAATCGATCAAATTTCATCATATCTGATTATTAAGAATTAGGAATGACACCAAGATTTTCATTTTGAATGAGTTCAATCCTCATAGTCGATATTCACAATCGTTAGAAAATCAAAATTATTGGAAGGAAGATATTTCATTTATTTCTTTCGTAAGAAAAAAAAACATTTTATTCAAATCCAACAAATCGATCTAAACTTTCTTTATCATCCGCAACAAAAACCGATTTCTTTTCATTATTTGTTAAATGATTTTCGATTTTTTCTAATCCATATTTTTTCTGATAAGTAAATATTAAACATTGATTTTGAAAATCTAATTTTCGTACTTGTTTGATAAATTCAATTCCTGCTAATTCAGGATTTGATTCATTATCTCGTCTCATATCCGTAACAATACGAAATTTCGAACGATTTTTTAAACGTCGTCCATATGACGAACGAAGAAATGAAAGTGCATTTTCACTTGACGATTTTGGTATAAAATGAACATTTAAATTTAATGAACGAGTTGATGCGCGTTCCATATGTGATTTATTTTCCCATTCCGAATCAAAAATATGATCATCAACCCATAGAATTGATCGTTCACAGAATCCAAGTTCAACTTGTCTTAAATAAATCAAATGTCGATTTTCTTTGATTTCATGTTTCAAGACAAGAAATATCGAATGTGGTAAAAACAAAATTTCATCTTCTTCGGGAAATATTGAAAATTGTTTAATACATCGACCAGTTAATGAATAAATAATAAAATAAGTATTTCGATTTGCAAAATATTTCCATGGTTCATAACCTTTTCTTGATGAACTAAATTGAAGCCAAGTTATCAATGAACCAATTTTATAAAATTTCAATGCATCATCGGACAAATGTATCGATCGTGTTGATATTCCCCAATAATAAGGAATATTTGCTAAACCTTTAATTAAATAATAAAGAATAATAACTTTATTTTTCCAATTGTCTTCATTGATATTTCGAAAGATTTCTCCATTACTTGTTCGTGCAACGAGACTTCCATTCCGTTTAATAATTCCATTGGATTTCGAACCTGTATAAAATGCAAGAGCAAATGCAATTGCATGTGCATCATCTGATGAGAGATTTTTTTTCATAAAAAATTCAAAATTTTCATCGGATTTTTCTTGATGAATTTGAATATCTTCATTTGATTCATAGATTTGACAAGTTTCAATTAATTTTTCGTATGTAAAATTTTCTTGTTCAATCATTTTCATAAATGATGAATTCAAATGATCTTCATAAATTAAATCATTTCGTCGAATTTGTAACCATTCTTGTCCGTGTTTTTTTATTGAAATTTCTTCCAGAATATTTTCACTTTCTTCTTTTTCAATTGAATTATTTGCTGGAGAAGATATTGTTAATTGATATGAAGGAATACCAAGAATTTCCATATAGATTTTATAACGTTTTAGATTTTCACTCGATGAGAAAGGAATTGGAGAATTCCTCTTCTCGAAATTCTCATCTTTCGACTCGATGAGTCTTTCTGGAAGATTTTCTTTTAATTTGTCAAATTTGTCATTTAATTCATCAACACATTTGAGAAATATTTCTTGTGGACGAACATTTCGACGCTTTTCAACATATTCCAATGCTTCTTGTGAATTGAATCGCATATGAAATGAAATAAATGCAATTGCAATTGCTGCTGATCGACTAATTCCATGATCAGAATAGATCAGTACGGGATCTTTTCGATTATAAGCAATCGCTAAAAAACTAACAGCATCATGAAAAAGTTCCGAAAGATTTAATACATTTGGATTATCATCAATTGCAATTTGATAATATTCAAGTGAATTTGTTCGTTGTATTCTAGAAAAACAAAGGCATTTTTCGGTTACGATTTCGAATGAAAGTGATGAACAAACAGAAAATCATTATGTTTGGTACAATTGACATAAGAACGAATTTTTAAATCTTTGATTATTTGAGAATTGAGTGCGTGTGCACGACGACCCAAGTAGATTAATTGTGGACAAATTTCGTTGGGATATGTTTCGATTAATTCGAATTCCTAAAGAAGAAATTGGTTTTTAGTTTTGAAACAAAAATGATTTTACTTTTGGCGAATAAAATATTCGTTGTGTTCGCAAAAATGGATAAAATTTCGAAAATAATTCATAACCACCATTGATTATCTTGATTGTTATTAATCCACCAGCATATTTACTCAGAAGATTAGCACAAGTGTAAATATCATCTAGAGAAATTTTATTGAATAGTTTTTACATTGATTAAACAAACCTTGTTCGGATAAAGGTAATGTTTTTGATCGACTATCATAAATAACAATATGTTCACGTGTTTCTAAACTTAGATTGTATGGTAATTGATATTCTCCTTTGGAATTCTTCGATAAAAAAGATTAATGAGGTTTCCGACAAATAAGATTTTAATTTTACCCGTTTCAGATGTTCTGCAGTTATTAGATGACTTTCATTATAATCTTTTTTAGATCGACAATCTATTAAATAAAGATAATTTCGATCACTAATACGTGCTAATCCATTGATTTCAGCATTGAGTAAATTGTACAGATCATGACAATCAATTAATTCAAATAATGGTGGAAACATTTTTCTTAACTATTCGAAAGACAATGTTTGACAATGAACAAACACTATTATTCATTCTGTTACTAATAACAACTGTCATTTTCAAAGGTTTGATTAAACGATAGATGACGCACAATGTTGTTGTATGAATAACGGTGAGAACGAAGGTATGAAAAATCATGTTGTAATATATGCAACAAAATCAGACAAAAGGAATGTATGTAGATTATCTCTTCTGTGGTTATACATGAAAAGATTGAAATTGTAAAAAGGTACATCATTCATGTAAATGCAGCTGACGTTGTTTGTTGTTTTTAAAATCGTTTTAATCGAGTTCTTTCATCATCGAAGGACATTTTGAATCCTCTGCGAAAATTCTACGAAACCAACAGCAGTGGTTATAAACCTTGATCTATTCTCCATACTTTTCGCGTCAAAAGTAGATGGATTAACCAGTCACCATGATCATCAGACTTCATATCAACTGACCTTTTTCTATGGACTTTGATCAAAGAATGCGTAAACACTACGAAGCTACAAAATCTGCAAGCACCAACGAGATGCTATAATTACTAAAATACGAAGCTTATCAGTGAAAATTTGTCAAAGCACTTTATATGAAAGTTTTCTTTATTGTTAGTCACTCTGGATTTGTACATTTTTAGATTGATCACTCCATAGCCAAATATCGGGTGTGAAATAGAAAAAACAGAGAACATCATTTTCCTTACTTATGAAAGTACCCGGTACATAGCGAAACCTTTCAATTCGATTGGTCTAATACATTCCAAGATGAAAGATAATGAAAAGATATTGACTTATTCTATTCATAATACGACTCTTCATCATTATCAAATAACTTTGTCAATGAAAGAGCAAAGTGATCCTTCAGATCATTCATCGATTGCTCTGACTTTAAATAATGTACGATGTGGACATTAATGAATAAAAGAAATTCATCATGTTCTGAAATATTTTCAATAGACATTAAGAATTCATGTTATGTTTATATCATGTATTCACTGTTCATATTGGTTCTACGCAATCACTAAATAATTGTACTTTCATATGATGACCTTATGACGTGTTTTCGGCATATTCGATATAGCTAATAAATATATTATGCATATAGCTGCAAGAATTCCACTTAAGAATATAACAAACATTTGAATTAACATCATACGTGTTGTTACACCTTCAATATTACGATGTCGTTGCAATAATTGTCGTAAGTTGTACTATGTTGAAGTAAATGATATTAAAATTCATAGAATTGACAATAAATAATAACCAATTACAATCCAATAATTAACAGTTACTCCATGAAGATTCGATATGCTATCTAAAGCATTGTTATCAAACTGCCATAAAATAGATGAACCGTATTCATATGGAATTGTTACTAAATATATAAGATTAACAAAAATAATTTTCCATATTTTTTTCCTCAACAATAAAAAAAAAACCTTATGAATATTTGAGATTTTCACATTTATAATACTAACCTTGAGCTAATTGAGCGATTTCAGTGAAGGATAATTCACGAGAAAAGATTTTCAGTTCATCAATCTTTCCTCGAAATTGCGATGGAACAATTCGTGTTTTCCCATGAGAACAAGTGTCTGGTGAAAGACAAGTTCCTACAAGGATTGTATGTCTTGAACCTGTTGCTAAATAAGTACGATATTTAATATATTCACTTGAAAATAGTCCACTAACAAATAGTTGAATACCGTTAGTTTTGGAATAAGTCATAACTATATGAGTCCATTGGTTTAATGAGATCATTCCAGAAGTAAATGAACTTGAATAGACACCAATGCTATCTGATGTTTGAATTGTTAGGCGACCTGACGAATCGAAACCAATTGTTGGTACACACGATCTGGTTTCGGAACTGACCTAATTCGAAAATAAAATTGAGGAATAATAATTATGTTTGCTGTTTTCAGAAATCTTACCTGGAGAATAGTCCCACTATTAACAAATGGATAAATCCATAATGAAAATGAAAATGGATAATCTGATTGAGCAAGATAATGAAAACCTGTTGCTTGAAAGTAAGATAAATTTGTTGAATTAATTAATAAACATTGACCGAATCGACCATTTGAATCAAATGTTGTTGAAAGAAATGTACTGTTAATCATTCGATTTGGTCCAACATCATCATATGAATTATCAAATGGATAATAAGCAACAAGAGTTGCTTCATCAAGAATTTCTTCGAAGCTTTTTACACGCGATTCAAATGTTAATTTATCAATAAAACCATTTTTAGGAACTGTGAAAGGAATTACCGGTGCCGTACCAACAGTTATAACATCTGTAATTTGTGGAAATGCAACGATAGCCGTTTGAATTCCATCAGAAATTCGGTTCACGTAAATACGTTGTTGTAATATCAAAGGATCATAGGAATAGGTAACATGATGCCATTGATTGGCATCCAAAAGAATTTTTCCAGATAGATCATTACCGCGAAAACTAACACGGAGCAGTCCTCCAACCACGATCATATGTAAACACAGGTCCAGTTCAACTCCTGTACAATACGAAAATAAAGGAAAAGAATATAACAGCCAAAATACAAACAAAGAAATAAATCTTTAGCATTTTAACGACCATATTTTATACGCAATAACCCTTTCTTTTAGAAAAAAGAATAATAATGAGAATTTTTTTTTCACAATTGGACATGTGACAACTTAAACTCAACATCGATTGTGAGCTGAATCGAAGAGCTGGGTCTCGATTTCTATCTCAAATAAATTGAAACCGATGTCCGGCTCCTTTAATTTAGCCTAGAATCACTGTTGAGTCTGAAAGCAGATGATTTATGAATCATAAGTTTCTTTATTGAAAATTTAAAGTAGTTATAAATTTGTTTGAAGTTTCTAAATGTATGAGCCATTTATAAAGCTAGCCTACTTACAAGTAAAGCTCATCATCCGGATTCGCAGACCCTTTTCTGAAAGAATTATCCTGACACTGAGCGCATTCAGACGCTATCAAAAACCAATAAGGCACTGCGATTGCTATTGGTCTTCAGCTGAATCACAGCACTGTCCAGCACACTTACAATTCATAGAAGACAAAAATTATTCTTTTTGCATGAATCCAACTAATTGGTCATTTTTGAGTGAGCAGTTTTTGAGTACTAGCTGTGTTTACTAAAAATCCCATCGCTTAATGAGCATGTTATCGTTTCGTATAGATAAAAGTTTGCGCTCGTTCTCTTTGTTGTTTTACAATTGCCGCCCGCCGTGTGTCCGTATAAATGTTTTTCACACAATGAAAGAAAGGTAGATATGTAAAGAATACTATACCTTCTTCCACTGACCAATTTCAGTGATTATGTTTAAGAATTGTAATAGATAAATTCATCTGATTTTCTTTCCTGATGAAAGATCAGTTTTCAAACACAAGTCAGGGCTACTATATGTTATTTCCATTCGAGCTGATTTTATTCTCATTTAAACCTGACCGTAAAAAACCCCACTACACAGACTGATAATAATTAGTAGTGCCCTTCATATTCATGCTGTTCTTGTCGGTTTCAATGATCCAAAATTTATTACACTTTCATTTACTTTCCTCTTTTTCGCTCGTCAGCCTTTGTTATCTAGAAACATACTTAGCAATCTAACTGCCAGCACCTCTTCACACGACAACACTGTATATGGAAGCTTAGTACATTCTGCCGGGACCTTCGTTTTTTTCTGTCAATTCTATGCTATTGTTTGATTTTCAGTGAAAACCAAAATTCTCAATACCTAATTCTTGTCTGCTACAAAAAAAAAGAAATGCTTCTCAATATTGTTTAATGTCGGTATTTTATTTCGACGTTTCGATTTTGTGTCTTTTCAAAACTATCTTATAGATAGGCACCCGTGATAAGGTTTTCCATCAGCCAGAAATGATCTTTTTGAACATGATTTCAGCTAGAACAGGTAGATGATCCGATGGATAATAGCCTCCATTTGAATCTGTTAAAGTTCCATGTTGCAATACTTTGAAATCTTTTGATGTTACAAATATATGATCGATTTGTTTACCCATTTGACGGCCAACAGTAAACGTTGAAAAAGTACTATCTGGGCCACAGTGTGACCTCTCCGAAATATTTTTACTATCCTCAAGAATTGCATTTGTAATAAAAGTACGGTAACTATCTGACTGCGGAGATGCATTAAAATCACCTGTCAGTATGATTGGTGTTGAAGATCCAACTATGGCCCTTGTTTGACTTAAAATAAGACGAGCACTTTCTAGTCGAGAAGTTCTACCCGTACTATCAAAATGTGCGTTGAAATGGTAAAATATCTGAAATGTATATCGATCACGTAACTGAACCCATGTACNTACTAAATATATAAGATTAACAAAAATAATTTTCCATATTTTTTTCCTCAACAATAAAAAAAAAACCTTATGAATATTTGAGATTTTCACATTTATAATACTAACCTTGAGCTAGTTGAGCGATTTCAGTGAAGGATAATTCACGAGAAAAGATTTTCAGTTCATCAATCTTTCCTCGAAATTGCGATGGAACAATTCGTGTTTTCCCATGAGAACAAGTGTCTGGTGAAAGACTAGTTCCTACAAGGATTGTATGTCTTGAACCTGTTGCTGAATAAGTACGATATTTAATATTTTCACTTGAAAATAGTCCATTAACAAATAGTTGAATACCGTTAGTTTTGGAATAAGTCATAACTATATGAGTCCATTGGTTTAATGAGATCATTCCAGAAGTAAATGAACTTGAATAGACACCAATGTTATCTGATGTTTGAATTGTTAGACGACCTGACGAATCGAAACCAATTGTTGGTACACACGATCTGGTTCCGGAACTGACCTAATTCGAAAATAAAATTAAGGAATAATAATTATGTTTGCTGTTTTCAGAAATCTTACCTGGAGAATAGTCCCACTATTAACAAATGGATAAATCCATAATGAAAATGAAAATGGATAATCTGATTGAGCTAGATAATGAAAACCTGTTGCTTGAAAGTAAGATAAATTTGTTGAATTAATTAATAAACATTGATCAAATCGACCATCTGAGTCAAATGTTGTTGAAAGAAATGTACTGTTAATCATTCGATTTGGTCCAACATCATCATATGAATTATCAAATGGATAATAAGCAACAAGAGTTGCTTCATCAAGAATTTCTTCGGAGCTTTTAACACGTGATTCAAATGTTAATTTATCAATAAAACCATTTTTAGGAACTGTGAAAGGAATTACCGATGACGTACCAACAGTTATAACATCTGTAATTTGTGGAAATGCAACGATAGCCGTTTGAATTCCATCAGAAATTCCGTTCACGTAAATACGTTGTTGTAATGTCAAAGGATCATAGGAATAGGTAACATGATGCCATTGATTGACATCCAGAAGAATTTTTCCAGATAGATCATTACCGCGGAAACTAACACGGAGTAGTCCTCCAACCACGATCATATGTAAACACAGGTCCAGTTCAACTCCTGTACAATACGAAAATAAAGGAAAAGAATATAACAGCCAAAAATCCTTTGGAATCCATATCCATGCAGAAACGGTTAATTTAGTCGAACTCAAATCAATATATTTCTTAACAATCATATAATTAGTAGATGAAAAACAAGCAGCACTTCCGTAGCCCGCATAACCTGGTGATATCCATGTAGTAGTATTATTCCCATTTATTTTCAGTTGTCCATTGTAACGACTATATACATCGTTTAAATCTCCGTCGAATAACCACTGAATTTTATCTGGTGGATTAGTTTCAGCTAAATCAAAGTGAATATCTTAAGGATGAACAGAGCTACTGGTTTGCATACACACACTCGCTATCATACAAGATCTTTTTAAAGACTTCTGATATCTTATATACATATACTAAATGATATCGGACAACAGAAATGCAGAGTCTGTCAGTGTGTGTCTCCACTCGTGAGAGAAAATAGTCTGTTTTCAGAAAAACTTCAGAAGTATTACTACATGAGATCATGTTCTTCTTTTATTTTCTGGATAGACAAATTCACAAAAAAATCTACGGTAGGTGAAATTCAGCTTTCCTAAAGGCAGGTGTTTCATGCTTGTCGAACAGAGAAAGTTCTTATACAAAACAGATTATCTGTTTTATGTAAAACTCACATCTTTTCTCAAGAGAATCATCGGAGTACTCGATCTACAAAAGATATCTCTATAATAATCAAACATACATTTTAAAAAACTGTCTAACACGCGTTGTCTTCCTATGCATTTATATTGATATCTCAAAATATTAGCAGACGCGTTCGTATTTTGTCATAGAAATGGATTTTAAAATAATGTTCACTCACCTAAAGAGAGAAGAATCGATGGTGGCCCACGCACAGTCAGTGAAAATGTTCCTGTCGTAACTGCTTCGTATGTTGTTACAACGATGATATATTTTGTGTAACGATGAAGAAGTCGTGCAAATTGAAATTGTCCATTTCCAGCAGTATCTGCATCTTCTAGCAGTAGATTCTCATATGGAAACAGTGAATTGAAAGTATCTTGATAAATGTATCCGTGCATATCCATTGTACTGTTTGAAAATATCGTATAATGAGTAGTTATTTCTACCAGAAGTGGAATAGCTTCATAATGAAACCCAGCATTTGACCGAGGAATTCCAGCACGAACATACAGTGGAGATGAGAATGTCAAGGCCGATGAATAAACTAGTGTGGAAAATAGAAATCGAATATATTCCAACTGAACGAAAAACCCGTGAAATAGTGCTTAAGAGCTGAATACCTCTTGTCGTTGAGGATGCTACTGTCGTTGAGGATGCTACTGTCGTTGAGGATGCTACTGTCGTTGAGGATGCTACTGTCGTTGATGTTTCCATAATTGTTGATGTTGATGTTTCTACATTTGTCAAAGACGACATATCTTTTGTTTTTTTTGCACGAAGCACTAGTGGAATTGTAACGCTTAGTATAATTATGACAATAGTTACACTAGCAAGTAGTATATACGTAATTTTTCTTTTGTGAGCGTTTAAACAACTAAAATGATTGAACTCGTTTCTATTGTTTAGTGTGACTTTGTCGATATACATACGATGACTGTATTTCAATCTTTGCAATTTTTTTTGAATGAGAAACATCAGTCGAAGACTAAAAGAGTTAAACAAAATTAAGATGATATTTTTTTTTCACTTGATAATTGACTAGATTACATCAAAAGTGTTTATTTTGTTGTTAGGCATTGTAGATCGACGATTCAAACATTGTGTTCTATTGAATAGAAATCTAGAAAAGCGGAACAGACACACGATGTTCGTATTTTGACAATAAATATCACATAAGAGCAAGATTCAAAATAGTTTTCTGAAAATGAAGAGATATTCTATAAATTATATATAAAGAAAAAAGTTCGTTTTACTGTCTGTTCATCATGCATTCAATCCCTGTCATAGCAACGATCATCAAGTTTTCCACAATGCTTTCCCAGGTCCCTATGAAGGTAGACCAGAGCTTGAGCAGACGTGAGTGATATATCACCCATATTCTTACTTAGTTTTTTGTTATAGGTGTCGTTACCGAAATTTTCATGGTTCTTCCATAGGTCCAAACGGAAGCAGAGAACGGATAACGCTTTTTAATGGTGGGTGAGCGAGGGAACACTGGATGAAATCCCATTTGTAACGATAATGATATCGTTCATCTCTTTCTGTTCTTTATCCTCTCACCTCTATATCATACTATCTCCGGGTCATCTCTCTCTTTCCTCTTCTCTATATAAGCGCGTGTCTTATNGGATGAAATCCCATTTGTAACGATAATGATATCGTTCATCTCTTTCTGTTCTTTATCCTCTCACCTCTATATCATACTATCTCCGGGTCATCTCTCTCTTTCCTCTTCTCTATATAAGCGCGTGTCTTATTGTGAAAGAGATACATTCTGGTCATGTAGAGTAGTCAATAAACATCTATACCGTGAGAAGCGGTCAGCTACTCAACCAGTTTGTCATTACACCATTACCATCCACTTATACGTCTACTTCGATTTTTATGCTAATTGACGTCTACTTCACTTCTTATAATAACTGTCCTGGCCCAATACGAAGTTAGAGGAGATTCAGGAACAATGCTAGCATTTAACGAGGGCTTATCCAAAGGGGAAATTGCATCCACGTAGCTTTACCGTAAATAATGCCACGTAGTTTTTAATGGCATTCGGTTAGACTCAAATGAAGACTGAGAAGATGCTGACGATACTATACAGAGCTGAGAGAGAAGGCGTATCTAACTGATAGTTCTCTCAGACAGTTACGGAATATGTAAGATTATCAAGGTCCCGCAGATATGTCCATGTGTACAGGTAAAAGAGCAGATTCTAAGTTTCTTTGAATTCTGTAAAATCCGAAATTTCAGAAGACCCTGGTTTTCACGAAGTTTGTAAAGTATCATAGGGAATATATGCGAATCTGAGGATCACGATTTCATTTATTAATATAGAGAGACAATAGACAACGGAAAGCGATAGAAATTCCATGCGATTTTGAATGATTCACTAGATCGATTGTTAAAGTTACTATCTATTAGTAGGTTTTTGTACTGATCTGATCGTATCATAGGGAAATGAGAGCGATCCAGATTCTCTGGACTGACGAGCTCTATTGGGAATGTGTATATGTTGGTGATAGATGAACCCTAAACTAGGAGTATACAGTTTTTTTAGATCTGAACTGAAGTAGAAATAGATTTGAAATGGGATTTCTAAGAAAAAAAACACGGGGCTGTAGAAATAATAGCGTCGTAATACTTTAGAGTAGGCGCAACTGAAAAGAAAGGTAAAATTGACGGTGACAACCGTAGAGAAACGGTAGGATTCGAATTCTTACACAGTATAAGTTGCTTTATCTCAGATATGCACGATATGATATGTTGTCACGGCAGATGATAAATTCGAAGCGCTACTCTATTCTACATCACCTGTCGCTTTTCTGTATATGAGGCGTTTAGTTTGGAAAGTTCTTTTTATGATACCTCTTATCACTATTTTATTAATACGCTTTTTTTCATACGCTTTCCTCTCGGTATATTTTTCCTCCATACATTTTCTCAATCTCTTTATTCCGCTCTCTAATTGTTCTCTTGTTGAACATCTCTCTGACACATCGTAGAGTACTGAATCATTGCTGGAACTTGAAAACGGAGTAGGTGTTTGTTTGAACCTGAAGTAAATTGATTATCACTCATATTTACGAATGGAACAGAGTGAATATTTTATTATTTGTGTGATTTTACTTCCGTATTATTAAACGATAAGTTATAACGTCTCGATATTATCCGAATAGAATATTTCAAGTCACTTGCCTTCACCGAATCTAAATTCAAAGACCAAAAGTATTCTCCGTTACCATACGATCTTTCATTCCTAAATATTCGCGAATTACGATAAGGAGATAAGATGAAAACTTTTTTTGACATATATTTTCTTTTTCATAGAACAAATCTTATGCAAATGATATCAATAAAATTCAAATGTTTTTTCCAACAACTGGTTATTTACTGCGCAAAAAACCTTTAGAAAAAAGAGTTATACCATATGATCAATATTTTTCAGAGCCAACTTCCGTAAAATAAGACAATCTGCTGAATAGAAAATTACAATGAAATATTGATTACTATTAGATTTCATTTAGTGTTGCCGGATCCTCCCATCGTGATTTTATTAGTGTATTCATGAAGGTAATAAACTACTAGAATCAGTCAGCACGTCCGTCTGTCCATTTACATGATACTTTACCAAAGCAGATTGCTATTATAGTGAAATTCTCTACACAGCTTAGTCTGATAAACATTTTTGATCGAGTTTAAAGACGGGGCCTGATTGAATCACTCACTTCTAAATTATTTCAAAAATAGTCATGTTTCCCTAATACTTTCTGATACACTTTTGCAACACATAACTCCTGGATAAAATGCGAGGTTTCGGCATTTATCTATTAAAATAACAGACTTTGATGACGCAAGCAAAATGTTGTCATCAAGCAGTCACTTACTAAAAAAATCTTTTCTGTGTGTTTTCTATCAAAAGCGCGACGGGTACCGGAAAAGGGGTTTTGCAGCTGCCTACCATTGACGTTAATGAATGCCTGAGCAAATAACTATTCCTCATTCGCAGACAGGTGCTTGAGAAATTATGTAATTAAATATTTGTTATTATTTTTCTTTTATTACATTCATAGAATCAGTGAGGGAATTATATGCACTTCAAAAATTGTATGAAAGAGTCGAGCTACCTTGACGGGATCTGAACACTAAAATTATGATGAGAAACCTTCTGGAAAAAAAATAGTTTTCAATCACCTGAAAAGAATATATCTAGAGAATGTTAAGGCTACTAGCCGCCTGAGAAGTCTCTCGACACATTGATGTTGAAATAGAATTTCTCACCACTTGAAACACTTTCAGATAAATTTTAGTCTGAAAAACTACGATTGGCTTCAGAACTATTACTAGATTCAGAATTAGTGTTAATAACTGGCTCGATGACAGAGTTGTCGCCCCTCAAGTGGTGTGTATTTTTCATTTGATCTGATAGCTTTCAATAAATCTTGATTTAATAATACATAATGGAAACATTTCAGAACGAGATAAATTTGAATTTAAACGTAGTTTCAACTCAGCTGATATTAATTCCGTTTTCATTCGATTTCTTCTGTCATTGAATAGATGTTTCATTTGTGAGAAAACTAAATCCACATAAGCATTGCTGCAAGGCAAAGAGTATAAAAAGCACACCAGGTTTTTTAAATTTGATGATTCAACAAGAGAAAATAGAAACATGTTGAACGATGATCATCTTGTTCTTTGTATCATGTTCATCATGGTTTCCAATTGGTATATCATTTTGTTTATCTGCAAATGATTTAACTTGATCATATAATGAAACAGATTGATTTAAAATAGTTTTTAACGTTGATTTCAATACTGTAAATTCGTCGTATAAGCGATCTCCATCCAAATGGGTCATTTTGATTTATTCCACACATTGAATTACTTGAGCCCATGATAAATATTCGATATTTGCTTCCCCAAAAAGCTGAGGAAACGAGAGAAAATAAGCTTTCTTATTGAAATAAGAATCAATGTAATTATTAATTGAATTCAAAAATTTCACAACAGATGATCTTAAAAGTTCTTGTTTATCAGAAGGTAAACGTAATAATTTATATCGACAAGCAGCACCAAAAAGTGTGAATCCAGTTTTTCTCTTCAATCGTATCTTAATTACGGTAAGTATTTTGTATAAATCGACAGCTGTTGTATAAAATCTTTGCAATTCAAGATTCTTTTGGTGGAGTTCAAATAATATATACTACAAAAAGCTCAATACACACGTTACTTCTTCAAGTTCAAAAAGTTGTTTCATATTCAATGGACATTCATCATTCTAATCAAGAAAGTACTTTTTCACAGGTACATAAACTTTCGAGTTAATGAGGAATTTGATTTTGCGGCAAATTCAAATCAGCGTCAATATTTTAGCTGCAAAGCCGGCAAAAAGGCTACTTCGCGATAAATACAAGTTCATTCAAACGATCCCAAATATGTAGTTTCTTTCAGTCGTAGCTTTGATAACGATGGAACAAATTGCACTTATCTCATTCAACCAATTTTTCCCATTCTCTTTATCTGCGTACCATATTGTGTATAGCTATATGCCGTACAGCCATATAAAGATGTGTTGATATAAGAATATAATAGTATAGTTGTGTGAGCGGTATTCCGAGGCCGTAGGGAATAACTATTTTCAGCTTCCAAGCTTGATACTATATATACCACTATATTCTTGTATGGTTACAACATTATACCGCTAACACCGCTATACTAGGATATGTGTATACCACCATACTGTCGGACTTCTAGGCGGATAGATTTTTCATACTAGATTCAGTTAGTATAAGATATGTCTTCGGATTTTGCTATCAATTATTTATTTATTTTTAAATCTATTTTGCGACAAAGTCATATTCCCCAGCTTATGAAACTTTCACCAAACACTCAATATATAAGTATAAACTTAACCATATAAGTTTAATATGTTTCAAGATAATCTGCAGTGGAAAAATACCTTCAGGTGTTGTTGATCAACAACAACATTATTTAAGGAGCTTTGACTTTTACCAGGTGAAACAACGATATTGCCCATGTTTATTGGGAGGGAAACAAGTACAAAAAGAGTAATACCAGCCATTGAGATGGAATCAGAAAAACGTCTTTATGTGTTTAACAAAGGATAGAGAGATAAACAAAGCAAAGTGAAAAACAATAACGCGATGAAAAAAGACAACAAAGAAGCTCATTATGAAGACAAGATAATCGAGAGAAACTACATTTCACAGGAAAGAAAGAAAATGTGTATGCCTTGACTAGAACGAAATGTAGGAGAGAAAAGAAAACAAGAAAACATAGAGAAGGACATGCGTATAAGATAGCGTCATCAAGTAACAATCATTGGAGATAATCATATTTTCTGTTGTAGTGGTCGAAGTTGACGTTGTGGTTGTGGTTGTGGTTGTGGTTGTGGTTGTGGTTGTGGTTGTCAGAATTTTTGTTACAAGTGTTTTGCCGAAAATATTCTTTTTTATTACAATAATAACTACTACTGAAATTAACACAACTAGAATTAATAATATGCAAAGTGTTTTGATGATTATTTTTTTCTTATATCTATATCTAAAACAATTTGATAGGTTTCCTGAATTCTTTGAAGCTGAATATATACATACGATGTGTTTTTTGATACGGTCGCCATATCGGTTGATTCGTTGATTTCGGATGAAGACTAAAGAAATAAACAAAAAATAAGATTGTCTGTTTTCTTGATACGATAAATCAGTCATTCCTTACTGTATTTTGATTTATTGGTACTATGATATTTAAACTTGACATTTTTCTTTCAAATCGCTTTGTAGTTGTACTATCTACAAGAATGAATTGTAAAAACAACGTTCAGCAATATTTTAATTGATTATATCAGATTTGCTTACATCTGCTCATATATTTTATGACTACTGATAAAACTTTGCGAGTAACGGATGTTATATAGATTTCATCTAGAGTTTATAAATATGCGGAAAAAACTATTCCTTGTTACTATTTGCTGTTGTACTTAGAGCTGTAAGCTATCCACCGACGTACTTCCAAGCAGACTGCTGGTGCCTATAGTTGTTGTAACAGAGAAATGAAAAATAAATCTATTCACTGAACATATGCTTTATTAATACGATCCGCAAAATTGGATAAAACATTTGTGACAAGGGGTAAACGGTGAATACTTACTGTACTTCTTGAATTCTCAGTAGTGCCAAACTCGAATGTAGAATTCTACTATTCAGATAGTCAGTTATCAAATTTGACTAGTTGAAGTTTACAGTAGGGGTGGATATTTGCGTTAATTTGAAATTAACGTAAACGGAACCCATTAATCGTTACTATTTAAGACAAGTAGCGCTCATCTGTTGAATTTGCTGATCCTTTTCTGAAAGAATTAGAAGACTTCTAGATGAAAACTCCAACAGATATCTCACTCTAATTCGTTACGAATTAAAGCCAGTTTTACGCACATTCTTTTCTCGTAATCCTTTTCTACTTTATTCATGTCAAACTACTTTCAATTCATTTGTCTAAAGATGCAAGCAGAACGAACACTGCTTCAAAATATTTATTAATCAATTCTCGCCTACTATTTAAGATAAAAAAAAATTACTTACACTTATTTTACCTCTTCGAAGCGACTCAAATAAACGCCTAGTTGTTTCCATGGATCTTCCTTTTTTCACTCTATTCAGATGAAGATATTATTCGAAAAGAAGTCTGCTCTGGAAAATCAATCGGTAGTCGAAACTGCAGGCACTTTGCATAGATATACTGCTCTCTGCAAAAAGTTCCGTTCATCTTCTCATCACCGAGCACCTTAAAACTTGCTGTTTAAAATATTACTCTTCAAATTGACATCTAGTTTAGAATCTCCTTTAAAATGAATCAAACCATTTCCTTTCATTCTCTGTTGAAGAATGACCAACTTTATGTCACTGTGACTGTCTAAAACAGCATTTGTCTGTGGAAGTATTATTTTGAGTGGTTAGCATCAGATGATGTTTGTGTAGTACGTACAACGGTTAATATAATTGTGATGTTATCAATATGCTGATGAGTCTGAATATCCAACAATCCGATGTTAATCGGCTATATCGTTTTGTTCTACATATTGCTGCGTCAAACACTATCACCTAAACAAAAAGCTTCCTTGCAAAAACTCGTCCTTAGTCTGAAGAAAAAACAGAACAGAATTTTTCTATCGAAAAACTAACATCAGATTCGAGATCCTCGACTCCGATTAGCCTTCGGTCAGTTATTTATTAATGACTATGCATGAGTTTTTGTGAACTTATAAAATACTGCAATCTGATTGGATTATGCATACAAACAAACAAATAAACCTTTAGCATTTTAACGGCCATATTTTATACGCAATAACCCTTTCTTTTAGAAAAAAGAATAATAATGAGAATTTGTTTTCACAATTGGACATGTGACAACTTAAACTCAACATCGAGTATGAGCTGAATCGAAGAGCTGGGTCTCTATTTCTATCTCAAATAAATTGAAACCGATGTCCGGCTCCTTTAATTTAACCTAGAATCACTGTTGAGTCCGAAAGCAGATGATTTATGAATCATAAGTTTCTTTATTGAAAATTTAAAGTAGTTATAAATTTGTTTGTAGTTTCTAAATGTACGAACCATTTATTAAGCTAGCCTACTTACAAGTAAAGTTCATCATTCGGATTCGCAGACCCTTTTCTGAAAGAATTATCCTGATGCCGAGCGCATTCATACGCTATCAAAAACCAATAAAGCACTGCGATTGCTATTGTTCTTCAGCTGAATCACAGCACTATCCAACACACTTACAATTAATAGAAGACGAAGATTGTTCTTTTTTCATGAATCCAACTAATTGGTCATTTTTGAGTGAGCACTTTTTTAGTACTAGCCGTGTTTACTAAAAATCCCATCGCTTAATGAGCATGTTATCGTTTCGTATAGATAAAAGTTTGCGTTCGTTCTCTTTATTGTTCTACAATTGCCGTCCGCCGCGTGTTCGTATAAAATTTTTTCAAGGGATGAAAGAAAGGGAGATATGTAAAGAATACTACACCTTCTTCCACTGACCAATTTCAGTGATTATGTTTAAGAATTGTAATAGATAAATTCATCTGATTTTCTTTCCTGATGAAAGATCAGTTTTCAAAGACAAGTCATGGCTACTATATGTTATTTGCATTCGAGCTGATTTTATGCTCATTTAAATCTGACCGTAAAAAACTCCACTACATAGACTCATAATAATTAGTAGTGCCCTTCATATTCATGCTGTTCTTATCGGTTTCAATGATCCAAAATTTATTATACTTTCAGTTACTTTCTTCTTTTTCGCTCGTGAGCCTTTGTTGTCTAGAAACATACTTAGCAATCTAGCTGCCAGCACCTCTTCGCACAACACCACTGTATATGGAAGCTTAGTAAATTCTGCCGGGACCTTCATTTTTTTCTATCAAGTCTATGCCATTGTTCGATCTTCAGTGAAAACCAAAATTCTCAATACCTAATTCTTGTCTGCTACAAAAAAAAGAAATGCTTCTCGATATTGTTTAATGCCGGTATTTTATTTCAACGTTCTGATTTTATATCTTTTCAAAACTATCTTATAGATAGGCACCCGTGATAAGGTTTTCCATCAGCCAGAAATGATCTTTTTGAACATGATTTCAGCAAGAACAGGTAGATGATCCGATGGATAATAGCCTCCATTTGAATCTGTTAAAGTTCCATGTTGCAATACTTTGAAATCTTTCGATGTTACAAATATATGATCGATTTGTTTACCCATTTGACGGCCAACAATAAACGTTGAAAAAGTACTATCTGGGCCACAGTGTGACCTCTCCGAAATATTTTTACTATCCTCAAGAATTGAATTTGTAATAAAAGTACGGTAACTATCTGACTGTGGAGATGCATTAAAATCACCTGTCAGTATGATTGGTGTTGAAGATCCAACTATGGCTCTCGTTTGACTTAAAATAAGACGAGCACTTTCTAGTCGAGAAGTTCTACCCGTACTATCAAAATGTGCGTTGAAATGGTAAAATATCTGAAATGTATATCGATCACGTAACTGAACCCATGTACATGTGCGCGTTCCAGCTGCATCCCATGCTTTGCTTCCTGGTATTCTTGGCGTTTTCGAAAGCCAAAACGTTCCACTATTGAGAAGATCAAATCGATCGATTCGATAGAATATGGCAGAAAATTCGCCTTTCATTTTACCATCAATTTTGCCAACGCCATAGTAACGATAGGCAGGTAATGCATTCTGTAAATCCATTATTTGATTAGGCAAAGCTTCTTGAACACCAAATAGGTCAGGTGCACGATTACGAATAAGATTAATTAATTTATTTTTTCGAAGAGACCATTGATTTTTTCCATCTTTGACTGTATCATATCGAATATTGTATGTCATTACACGAAGTGAATAGGGTCCACTTGTCGATAACATTGCTAGAAAATACTAGTGGAGTGCATGACATAAAATTTTAAATCTTACCGCAAGGTTTCTGTGTATATATTGATTGAAAATGACATAGGATGCTGACGACGACGAAAAATAATAACATGGTTTTCTATTATTTGAAAAGCAAGAATGGAGAAATACATGGATGGAACAGTCGTTAAAAAGTCAAATTTGTCCTTCTAATCATGTTTTTGTCATGAAAGAGAGATTTAGCACTTCAATTATTGATTTACATCAAATATCAGATAACATCAAGCAGGATAAAAAATGTTTTGCTAGTGATAAAAGAAACATGACTGAAGCGAAGAATATCGAACACGAGAAAATGATTTTATTGATTCGTAATTATTTTTGCTATTTAACGATGAAATGGTCTCACCTGATCTTTGAATACTGATAACTGTGATGATCATGTCAGGCTCACTGACGTATTTGTCCTTTTGTGGTTCTCTGTCATGGGTTCCTCGTCACCTTTGTCAACAGATGTTCGTTTTACCGCCTGATGTACCCACATAGTTAGTCAATGCGCAACTATAAAATAGGATCGTCTTCTCTCTCTCTCTTCGATGAAATAAAGCATATACGTCATCAAGCTTCAGTCTTTAAATGTTAGTCCGGAAGACGTCACGATACTTTTAAGATAAAGTCTTTGAGATGTTTTCGACAAGTTTGTGATACAAATAAATAAAATATATTCAAAATAAGTCAAATAAGATGTTCAGATGCAAATCATAGTGTTGTTAAAATACAACAAAAGTAAAATTCCGGTGGTATATAAATTGTATCAAACCTTGGTGAGGTCGTTGAAAATTGGGGGGCAAGTATAAAGTGGGCATGACAGAGCTTGTCGAGATGCCAGATGGAGCGTGAGGTTCAACCGCTTTAACTATGACATCACGAAGACTTCGGATCGATTTTTCTGTAATGCAGCTGGTTGCCATAGAGATTCGAATGACTTTTTGCCAGTTTTCGCTAGCATTTCTGTAGATTTCAGAAAAGTTTTACATGGATATTGTTGGATGTCACTATAGTCTCAGTTCTCATCTGATGAATGGAAGCGTAATTAAGGATGTTAAATGCAGTTGAAAGCTGAAAACTGGATGTAATGATTTTTTAGATTTATTCGAGATTTACTCTAGATAATTTTTGTTGAATTCAGTCAGAGTGAAAAACATCAAATTTTATCGTTTTAGGCGATGAAATCCCATCAGTAACTGATAGATAATTTCAAAAAGCCCCATTGTGACTTGGTTTTTTTCCACAATATGCGCAACGAGGT